GACAATCCGTTCTGAAGGTACACTATCTCTGGCACGAGTGCTCCCGTCTGCTTCCACAATCCTGTTAAACTGACGGAAACTGGCTTTGCGAAGAGTCAATAGACGTGATTCAGTCCAGGAGTAAATTTTCCCTTGCAGCTTCACTTGGTAAAAACCGAATGAGGATATGAAAGTATTTCCTTAGGGTTTTTGCATGTCTTGAGCCACTGGTGTGCGCATTATTCCGATCCGGTAAGGAGATCTATTTCACTGAGCTGACTTGTTAAGTCACACGCATGCGTAGAAACAAGATAGCTTCGTCTGGCTCAAGTTGGCTATGTTTTCTTATTTATTTGATAAAGGATTCCATGAAGACGCGTTTCATCTGCGAATCAGCTTAGCGTCGACCCTCACGAAGCACATGGCCTCATGGTTACATCTCTTATTTTAAACTCCGTGTAAGAGGAACCCGATTTCCGATCGAATCTAGAGTACTTTCAATAGAACCCCGCCTTGGACTATCAGTAGAACGATGCGCATCCCTACCAGCAATCGACCGGTTTCGACGGTGTTTCTGCTTCATCCGAACCCTCGGCACTATTTGAAACGGTGCCTCGATGATGCATGTGAGCGCTCTGTATGCCTCCTTCCTTTTGGGAATTATCTTTTAATTCACCGGTTACTAAGTATCTTCACCTTCACCGGGTTCCGGGGAAATCTCTCATCACGGATCTTTAAAATGCAGGATCACCGCAATTTCCCATAGTCAAGTATAATTTTGCACCGTGCACGCGGTACAATCCAAACTGAGCAACGTATCCGAGACGATTCCGCACTTCTGTGCAATATTCTTCGATGCCATACTGTGAAACAACGACTTCTAGCTTCTTGGCACATTAAGACGAAAGATTGCATATGATCAGTCTAGTAATGAAAGGTATTCTGGAAAAATTGACATACTGTAGCCACCGGAACTGGGAAGAAAGCAGCAAGAATTTCTCCCCTGAGTTCATCATATTCAATTTTATAACCCAAAGACGTTCAACAAACTTTGAGCTGGGATCAAACCCAGCTTCTACGTAAGTGCTTCTGAGCAGATTGACGCAGGATGATGCGAGTTTCGGTATGTGCTTCGTACCTTCAAAGTGCAAGGTACGGTTGCAGAACTGGTCTGATGCTCCAGTTGCTCTCACCGAGCAGTCGTTAGAAGTAACCAACCGGTCCGCTTACCTAGTCAGCTGCACAACTCCGGTGATCAAACCATCGAACGTTGCTGAACAGATACTACTAAGGTATATTTCTCGTGGTACCGAGAAACCGAGCCCACAAAGGGACGGATCAGTTAGAAGAATGTGGCTTTTCAAGACCTAAATCATTTACAGAGGTAATGTGACGTTAGCTCATTGGTTAGGGACAGGATGTACAACATCGCAAAGCGGCCAGTGTTACCGTGTGGATAAGAGACATTACAATCGAGCGCTGTAAACATCAACAGGTTGATCATCTTTGACCACTGAGGTCCGGTATGATCGTGAAATGGAAAATGTCGGTGTCCAGTAGGTTGTTTACCAACATGCCCTATGGTTTAGCTGTGGATCGCCGTTGGGGGCTAGGCCGAGCTCTTCGTAGTGTCACCGATAGTATGACCAGTTGTGTGAAGCCTCAGTGTCGTCGACCATGACTTGGTAAGACGATATGACGAAGCTAACCAAAAATCTCGGTCATGTTGGTGCATTTTGTCGCTTCATCGATACGGTCCATGGGATAGACCACACTGGTGGTCAGAGACTCCTTAATATCTGATCCAGTCACAAGACAATCGCATTACCACATCAGGTATAATATCCTTTAACGTTAACCTTTCCATTCTACGACTAGACCACCACATCAATTTTTCTTGAGATTCCGTCCTTGTTTGATTGTTTTTTTCTTCCACTTTGTTCAATGTTTCCAATTACTGTCTGTTAGCTTACAGGTGACGTGTGTGACGGTAGCTGTCAAGTCACGGGAACGAAACGGACGCGCGGCCAGTGGATGGGAAGGCGAATCAGCACGACGAACACAAATTGACTAGGTTTACATGGGCCAAGTGAACAGCGGGAATTGAGTTGCAGCGTTATAAGTCAGGCATGCTTTTGGTCCCGGTCAAGGGCAAGCAAGTTTCCCGCACGCGACACTGCTATACCGAACAAGCTAAACAGATAGAGCCCGCAGATGGAAAACCAATCAGGGCCACCGACACAAGCTGCTCACATTTACAATGACCGAATGAAACCACCAGGAGTGGTCCAAACGATGACCGCGAAACAATGAACGTAGGCAGATGGTCGAAAGAAATCAGCCATTAAAACCGCGTTTCTGTGAATAATGATCAAAATTTATGTAAAGTATAAGATGACAGTGTGTTCTTGAATAACCAATTCAGATCGCTGCCCAACCTTCATTCTGATTTTCGGAACCTTATTTCGACAACGTGGTTTGTGGACTGTAAAACCACCGCGATTCAGTGTGAAGATCACAGTTGAATATCTGAAACGGACTATAATGGATAAAATAAGAGTCATACTTGAAATCTTGGAAAATATTTGGAACCGATCGAGAAGCCATCGATTCAAAAGTTTTGGTAAACGACCGGTCAGTGTACTTGTTATACCGTACAACATTTCGCTCTTGACTCAAAACCTTCGTCAGGCGAAGTGAATTATCTTATCGATGAGCGGCAGTTTAAAATAATCACGTGCAAGCTACATACAGAGGTCGATAAACTTTCAGTTAATTGGTAAAACGCTACAGTGGTCAAAAGTTATCAGTTTCGCGTGTAATCCGTGGGTCTCAATTGAAGTCAAATGGGAATAAAAATGCTGGTCAGAGGGTAGTTACAGACATGGTCGGCAAACTTTAGGGGTCCGCTGGAATGAACTCGGTCACTGATGGAACTTGTCTTCGATACTTAGGGATTTGATGAAGGGATGTTGCTTGTTCATTTTGACTTCGGATCCATCCGCCGATGCTCATCAGACTAGCCGGAGTAAGACTGGACGCCAGGCACTAGACAGCCCTACTCCGTCTATCCTATTCACGCAATTGTTGTTCTTGGTTATTTATATAGCCTCAGCAATTGGCATTTGTTGGGCTGATCGCAATCCCTTCCTGATAACGCGGACATTTTCGAAGTCAATTTTGTGCCCTGTGTCTAGCGCATTCATTGCTACCGCCGAGTCTCTGAGCAGAGCTCTAGACTCGAGCTCGTTCCTCGGAGGTCGTAATATGTGCCGCCTATGTTCTGAGATTCGTGTGCGTAGTTCCCTCGCCGTTTGGCATATATACACTTGCGCACAATCTTTACATGAGATTTTGTAAATGTAGTTAGTTGTTCTATCAAAGGGAAGGGAGTCCTTCAAATAGACAAGCGTCGACCATAGCGTTTTACGCTTTTGGAAAAATATCCCCATGTTCTCTTTATTCGGTACTCTTTGGGTCGCTTCCGAAGTTCCTTCTTTATACGGAATACCCACTGTCACTATCCAATCCCTGGTTGGCTTTGCGCGTGGGTTAAGACATTTTAGTAGTTGTCTTTTCACCAATCGCCTCGGATATCCGCTAGCTATCAAGTTTTTCATCGCCTTCTGCGCTGCTTTTTTTTCATCTTCCACCGTGCACTGACCGCTGGCCCTGTGAAATAGTGATGAGGCGATTCCTGCATAAACATGTTTCGGGAATCCGGGGTTTCATAGTGAGTGATTTGGGAATTACGTTTTCCTTAAGACACTTAATTTTGCAAATCTGATGATTTTCCCAATTAGCCTCGATGCCTTTGATAGAACAACTAACTACATTTACAAAATCTCATGTAAAGATTGTGCGCAAGTGTATATATGCCAAACGGCGAGGGAACTACGCACACGAATCTCAGAACATAGGCGGCACATATTACGACCTCCGAGGAACGAGCTCGAGTCTAGAGCTCTGCTCAGAGACTCGGCGGTAGCAATGAATGCGCTAGACACAGGGCACAAAATTGACTTCGAAAATGTCCGCGTTATCAGGAAGGGATTGCGATCAGCCCAACAAATGCCAATTGCTGAGGCTATATAAATAACCAAGAACAACAATTGCGTGAATAGGATAGACGGAGTAGGGCTGTCTAGTGCCTGGCGTCCAGTCTTACTCCGGCTAGTCTGATGAGCATCGGCGGATGGATCCGAAGTCAAAATGAACAAGCAACATCCCTTCATCAAATCCCTAAGTATCGAAGACAAGTTCCATCAGTGACCGAGTTCATTCCAGCGGACCCCTAAAGTTTGCCGACCATGTCTGTAACTACCCTCTGACCAGCATTTTTATTCCCATTTGACTTCAATTGAGACCCACGGATTACACGCGAAACTGATAACTTTTGACCACTGTAGCATTTTACCAATGAACTGAAAGTTTATCGACCTCTGTATGTAGCTTGCACGTGATTATTTTAAACTGCCGCTCATCGATAAGATAATTCACTTCGCCTGACGAAGGTTTTGAGTCAAGAGCGAAATGTTGTACGGTATAACAAGTACACTAACCGGTCGTTCGCTAAACCGATTAAAACTCAGTCATACTTATCAGCATCAACATACACCGAGTAACGCTGCTCTAGTTTTATTCAGTGTCTAACTAAATGGGATCCGTGAAATCATACCATGATGTGGAGTGAGTTGATCGACACCAATGCGAAGCTAATAGCTCAAAACAACCGTACTAAGCATTTCGCTCAGGTGCTTATTTAGTCTATAAATTCGGACGGATATGTGTCGAGCAGTAAGGATCACGTCAGATGACAACATCGCCTACATTCGCAGGGGGCGTTTATAAATGAAATAACGAAGTTGGAAAAAAATAACGTGCAGATTTAAATCAACACAGGGAACGTGTACATCTAGACCTATTTTCATAACTCAGTGTGGTCTACGAATTAGTATTGTTGCGTCAGAGGAAATATAGCATATTAAATCCCACTTCAACTCAGCTCAAGAAGAACTCACTTCGATAACTCTGGTGGATTCCAACATTCCGCGGTGCTGCTGGTATTTATAGCAGTTGGGTGCATACGAGCCGTGCAAAAGTTGGATTCGGGCGATGCAAACAGATCGCTCAGAGACGAATACTATAAAAACAGATTGAGCAAAGATAATGAGTATGGTGATATGTGTTAAATTTCTGCAGGTCACCGAAAAGAAAGCTTTGCCATCGGCAGCACTCTAACAGTACGTAACGTCATGTCACTATCGTGAAGAAAACGGTCTCGTGTGCTAACTGAGTGCGAACGTTGCTTGCTCTGTGCAGAAAAAATTAAATTGTTCATATACAAGCAGGTGAGGTACCTGAGGGGACCGTCGGGTATTATAAAGTATGTTTGCTATGTCATGGGTCCAACACCCAGCTTAATCCTGCGGAAATCTAACGTTCCCTGTTTCAGGATAAACAAAAAACAGCTGGGATTTTAAGGCAAAATGTTTGGTGCCAACCTCAATCGGGTAAATAGGGAAACACGCAAACCAGGAACGAGTAATGAACGATGGGAAGAACAAAGGTGTGGGTCTCAATCACGCGCGGATCGGCTAGTCAATCGAATAACAATGAGAAACATCAACAGCACAACTTGATCAGCACACCGCAAAGCGACCTCAATGAGCACAGAATGGCCCAAGCCAAGGTACGTGCAACAGATGTGGTGATGTGATTTATAAACAGAAGCAACGCCTGATCATCATGCCATGTTAAAGCAAATATACGCGTAGCGTAAGGGTGAAGTGTAACCTTTCCATTAGGATGTTGGTAAGTAAGATGCGAATTTTGCTGTCTGGTTTCTGTAAACCTCACCAGAAGATTAGGGCAGTCGTATGATTGGATGAGCGTATGTAGGTTATTCGGCGACGCTGAAGCTGGTTGTCAGACGAGAGTAAGTTGGCCTCGTTAAAAAAGATGGGGGTATATATATATATATCGTGGAACAAAGCAACACCGTCGAGGTATAAAAAAGAAACTAACACCAATCGAAGCGATATCACAGCAAACAAATCAAAGTTAGGTGGGAGGTGAGACAAACACATAAATCTGAACTTAAAGCACCAGCTTGGGGGAAAAAGGCAAATGCTGGCTCCTGGATGACTCGCGAATCAAAAGCAGAAACGCAAAAAGTGCCGATAGGAACCGGACTTGGTGAACATACTTACCACAACGAAATGGTTACTAAAAGAAATTGTGTGTATATTAGAACTGAAATCAATCCAGTGAATTCCAAGCAGATTGGTTCGTTCAAAACATTAGATAATGCGCAATCGAAAGCGTGGTGATAAACAGAATGAGTATGGACGGCTGTCACTAGGGATGGAGAGGGAAAGAAGTTAACGATTTTGGAGCTTCAAACAGACGGAGCGAAAAGCTGCTAACGACAGCATCGAGCGTATAGTCTTGGAAAATTACAGTGAATAATTCCGTACAGCTCTGCCCATCAAATTCTTAACTGTTACAGCTCCGTGGGAACAAGAACACGTAGACAACACAGGATGCGTGAGGTCTATCTATGCTTAACGCGGCAGACCAACGAAGTCACAAGCAATCCGCTAAAGCTTGCGATTGATAAACAGACTAGATAAAGCATTTAAAAAAGGTAGCCATGTCAAACCAATGAGCTCTGAAGTTAACCGCGACGGAAACTGGTTAAGTGGAAAGGTGACGTGAACGGCGAAAGCCTTAATGCGAATGGCGTTCGGTTAGGCCAGATGAAAGTTTAAAAGTATCACTCGGAGGAGAGATAATGCTGAAACTTGCTGCTACGATGAAGAGATCGATGTTGGTAGGCTGTAACCGTCTCATACTAAAGAGTGCTATGACAGAAATATCGTACCCTGATCGACCAAGTAGATCTGCCGATTCAAATAAGTTTCGAGTTAGACGGCTTGTTTCCACGCAAATCGCACAGAGCAAGGTTTTTCTGGCCGGAGCACCGAGTGAAAACGAATTAGTAACGAGTCAGAACGCTGATAATTCATGTATGTTTGACTCACTGGTCACAGTTAGTCTCGAAACAGCTAACGAAATTTAGCCACAATACACAACATAGGTGCTCTTCAAAAAACGATGCATCCATGTAGAATATGTGTAAATACGAAGGCATTTGCAAAAGTCCGCGGTCCGTGGAAGAAAATATAGCTTTTCCCAGAGCAATTTAACATATTCAACGCTCTATAGTAGGCTTGCTCGTGGGCTTACGGATTACAAGCCTGCTTTGTAATCTGAGAGCGCGGGTTCGAGCCAGTGCAGGGGACCGAGTGGCCCTCGCAGTATCCTTAGGCCGCGCGCGACCGATGATGGTTGCGCGGTAGAGAAGCGTCTATACTCGTGCCGGCATACTGCTGATGTTTTGTTTTCTATAGGGGATGAACTTCAAGATAGTGAAGAAGAACAAACGCAACTCGACGGTTAACCGGAAGGGAAATTTTCTGGAAAAATATAGCCTGAATGAAACCTACTGAACGTTTAAGCTGGGCAGCCCAACGCATTAGATTCTCCGGTGGATCGGGTACCACTTTACTGGGAGAAGTTCCCCGGTCGGAATCAAAAGCATATCCATTAATACCCTGATCATAAGCGTGTGGAGGGCTTGTGGCACCGTATTCCGGCGGACGTAATCCGAAGTTTGCCGAGCTCCCAGTGGGGAGTTGGCGTCGCGTTTGCCAATCCAGCAGTTCGGGGGAAGCAAGAGAAGGAGCAGACCGTCGTAGACGATTCCCTCGAAAGCCTCCAGTATTGAGGGGCCAGACTGACGACGGTGGCGACTGCATTCTTGCGTGGGGAAGGCGATTGGTTGAACTGGCAGAGCTGAATAGCGCAGGAACAGTGCGACCAGAAAGCCCCAGTCTGCATTCCGACTGAAACTGATAAACCAGTGAAAGAAATGTGAAATCCGGCTAGCGAGGAGCGGTAAGTCCGAAGGCCAGTTTACATAATTGCGTACAACAGTTAGAGAGTGAAGCACTAGCACGAGATCAAGTGAATAAATATGAAGCGAGTGCCGACAAATGCGATTAGATTAAATTTCGAAATGGCTTGCAGTAACTAGAAAGATGAGATTGAAGCTACAAGTATCAAGTTTGAAGCGGCGAAGTGAATAGTGCAAAGAACTAATCGAGAAGTGAAAGGGGAGGTCTGGAGGCGGTTTAAGTGCTGGAGAACAAATGGTGAGCCCAATATTGTATAATTCTAAGCACGTTAATGGGGTGCACCGGCTGGAATCAGTGGTGAAATGATAGTGGAAGAGAGCACACCGTCCAAGAATGCGCGATTTAGTTGCCAAAGCTCATTTGCAGAAGTAACGAATAAAAGCGGTAGGATCGAAAACCCTCTTTCGATTATGTCACGATGACACCGCATCGCATAACGTGCAATAAAAACGATCTGTTGACCTACACATCAAACTGGGGTAAACACCGCCATGGGGTGAGCCCAAAAAGGGACGAGTGGAATTCGTCCAAATGTCGGCAGCCAAATACCTGAGTGCCCACAAAACACATGCCCAGGCATGCCAGAGATGTAAACTGTGCGGCTATAAATCGAAGTGCCGTTTGCAACTGCTGGCAAGCATAGGTGATGCGGAACGGGTGCACAACATGACGTGGATCAATAGTAGGAAGACAGAGGGGGAGAGAGACGGTGGATAGACGAGGGACGATTTACTTTACCATGTGTCACAGTTTGGTTGGTTAGTCGCTCGGGCGGCTTATGGTGAACAGAGACGAGGCCATGTGATGGTGCAATCAGCAACCTCAGAAGAGAAATGAAAGCCTAAAGGTTCAAAACAATTACTTTCGACTTTGTCTGCTCATATCGCGTTTGTAAGCTTGTAATGGCCTCCGATATGTCCATTTGCAAATGTCGGTTAACAGCGGGGAAGTTAAATGAGCGTTCCAAACGTACGGTAGCCACAAGGATTGCATCTGAAACGGAAAAGTGGAGAAGAACAAAAGCACAAGTGAAACCCATTAACCACGTTTCGTAATCGCTGAGGACATTGGGACTTACAGTAGGGTTGAGACACTCTATTCGGAGCGAAACGCTAGTCGTACTGTGTGCGCACCCACAAGATTTCGCCCATAGGGAGGTACGTAGAACTACAAGTCGCAATTTACAAGTGGGAAGTTGGTACGCTTACTTTCGTTAGAAAAAGCAAATAGAACACGGTGATGCTCTCAGCGATGATAACACAGAGGTAACCAGCATGTGAGGAAAGTGCTCTCAAAACACTGTAGCATAGTTGTGCAACTAGTATCTAAATGATCCGGGCTTGTGCGCTCTGGGCCAAGCATCAAAATGGAACCAAAGGTGGAATTTAGGCTTATTAGTGACCTCTCATCCGTATGTTGCTGAGGTGAAGTTAGCAAAACGCCGAATAAATCAAGGGTGATTGCCGCATGACAAAATGTGACCCTGAGAGGTGAAACGGAGTGGCTACATCGTTTAAGACGCATTCGACTTGGAACATTATGGGTCAACTTCGTGCGATCAAAGGGACGTGACGAGGCACGAATTACCGGCCTCTGAAGACAACACTGAGATAGACGCGCCCCCCAAACGGACAGCGACTAAACAGAGCTAAATCTTGCAGTCGCGCAGGCCTAAGAGGTCATTACAAGCGTATATAAAGTTTGTCAGCGTTAGTACCGGTTCATTAGCAGTTGACTGCCAAGTCCAAAACACATCCGAGCAATGGAATGCACTACGAAGTAGAGTTCAGGCTAAGGGAATACAAACGCGAAAGATGGTGCCACGCAACGGGTGGAAGTGAACATCAAGAACAGACAAGTAAAGACAAAATGTAAGTGAGTAAACACAAGCATGCTGAGAGCAGTAGCGTCGGTTCACTAGAGAACCTCCTAAACAGGCCCAAATTTCAGGCAAGCTGCAAGCAAGAAACCATTCGAACTTACAATGCGTGATACTGAGCTATTGGCTTAATCATGGTATTCGGTTCGTTTAGGTTGAGAATAAGTAAACGATAAGATGAAGAGGACATGATTAAAATTCGTGCACTTGAAGTACTGCAATGGTCTTACATGCAAAAGGATATTAAATGAATAGATAACAGGCAGGAAAACAATCGCATTGCGCTAGTGACCAGTTCTAACTCTGGGGTATTCTGTGTGTAAAAAGACGGCCACTACTTGCCTACGAATTAAGGCAACAAAGGAAGTAGTTTGTTGAACCATTGTGAACAAAACCCTTGTGTTTGAGTCAGCGATCCAAAAGATTATGATGAAAAACGCAAAGTGAGGTGTGATCCAATACGTAAGAGCCTGCAGTTTGGATCGAAAGATATCCAAAGACTCCTAAGAAAAAACAACGCAGGGCAATTTTTATCGTAATTCACCAATGTGAAGACTTCAAAAGCGTCGGAGCAGCGAGAATCATTCGGTGCAAAGTTGAAAAAGGTCGAGTTTAATAGAATGAATCAAAGGAGGCAGATTCTGAGTAAAGAATTCTTTTCAGTAAGTCTCATCAGACCCAAAGTTTACATAATGGCAATTATATGCTGAATGTGCCGAATAAGCGATGTATTGATTAGAATGTTTAATTCAAACGGAAACGAATCCATAAATCACGCGATCACTGAAGGTGACAGATAATGTACAAGAAGCAAATCAATTTCACAAACAAAGATTAACTTGGACACAAATCAGAGGAAGTTGTAGGCCACGGTAGAAGTAGAGGAGGTATAAACTGTTTTTGTACGCATAACTCCAGCTTGAGGTGGCGGATATAGATAGCCTTTGCAATGGATAAGAGATGCTTCCAGAATCCGCGCGAGAAACGCTCAGGAATAGTGTAGATGACACTGAAATCATTTGCCGTTCCTGTGTGATCGCACTCTAAGAAGTGAGACAAAATGGAGCTAGTACAAGATTTCGCTTCGCCTCTGTAATACCACTTCGGAATGTGATCGCGAATCCTATGAGATAGGCGCCTCGTAGTAGGACCCACGTATCGTGCATCACAGGAGCACGAGTATTGATAAACAAGCACTGATCGAGTCAACGGAGGTAGCCTATCTTTCAAAGGTTTTGTGAGTATGGGCTTGTAGCAAAAAAGTATGCGCGAAGCGCATACTGCGTGGTAGACTGACAATTGCGTGACTTCTTTCAGTGCGGTCCTGTGCGAACGAATAGAGTGTGAAATGGTACTCACTCGGACAGCATGCGTAAGAAGTGACCAAGCCATCTCAACTGGCGCAGTAAAACGAGCCTGTTGAGAGTAAGACCTGTACTGTCTAAGACGCGACGTTTAACATCGTCACTTTACATGTGGCGCCCCCGCCATCAAGGGTCGAAAACCGATATACGGTATTCACACGAATGGCTAGGGCCCGCTTCTATACATAAGTACTGCGCGAGTACAGCCACCGCAGGCCATGCTCTATGATGAGAGTGAAACGTCCCAATGATATTATAGATGCTTTAGATAAATGAATGTTGATCGGGCTTTGGTAATGCAACAAGTAACCTCCTTCCAATGTCACCATTAAGAAAAACGCGGGTCTCCAGGTAGAGGAAGCTTTCTAGATGTTTGAGTTCAAAACTTCAGGAGTGACCACTGCGACAGTTGGATGTCAACTTTGGAGTAGGCTTTTGCACTTTGAGAGGAAAAGGTCATACCATAGTTGGTTACAATCATAAATCGGTTTGGAATGAACTGCATACTCCGGGATTCGTCATCAAGCAAAGCGATGTTATCAGCACAGTCTAAATTGGTCATGTGATTGTTTTGAAGAAGTTCTATGCCAGAAGCTTGGAAACCTTCCAGGGCAATCAATGGGATATCCTCTATCATTAAAGTATACACAAACAGGGAGATATAATGCCCTTGTCGTGCACCACTAGTGATAATAAACGATGAAGCGAGCCTGACGTAAGCCTTCACGCTGCCAGGGACATTGTAGTATTCGAAGAATAGTGGTATTCTTTCCGGGTACCCCGTTATTATGCAGGCAACACTCACAAGTAGACAAATCAATCGAAATATATACAGCCCGGATATTCAGAAAGGTGACAATAATGGACTGAAGATAAAGATGACGACGCCTAAGGAGCTAGAGAAGCGTTAACAAGTGATCCACACATCTTCGACCGGGGCAGAAAACAACCTGTTCTTTAAGGGAGTACCGGTGCGTCTGCAAAGTATAGTGGATATCAATCACCTGGAGGTAACAGACTATGGACTGATTTCTCTGTGACCAGCACACAGGTACCCACTTTGAAGATCAGAAAGATAACAGACTCACTCCAAGAATGGGTAGTCTTTGTTCATGCCAAAGGGATCAGGTACAAAAAGCTCCTTCAGCCCAAGTGAACTAGCTTAAAATAAGGTATCACATCATAAAAACCCTGGATGGTCGAGAACACATCCTCTTATCCTACTCAAACAAAATCACCACTGAGGTTGGGACAGAAAATGCCTTTGATCCACACATGACCCATACGCGACAACGACGTTTGTTCGGCTTTTCGGAGCAGGAGACACATGATGCATAAAAAGCCAAGAACAAGGGGCTCACCAAAGTGCTTTTGAAAATGTCTCTGGCGAGGGCAGACGTGGAGTCAAGTCAGTGAGTTGCTGCACTAAACCGTCGAATTGCGTCTGTAAATGAATCTGCCCGCTGCGTCGTTGTGATGCACAAAATTCCGGCCTCAGTGTGACGACTTCCAATTGCCATTTGTGTAATTGCACACTAGCAAGGTTGTGCACGCATCGTTCTGTGTGCAATGGATATTTCGATTCGGGAATGTTGGGTTCCAGACTTTTCAGCAACCCTGTGTATTTCTTCTCTGTGGTTTTATCACACTCACTTTTTACCTAGGTGTCAAAAGAGTTACATTCGTCTGGCCTAAAGTTCATCCAAGGATGACTGATAATGTGAATGGAGTCGTTCTAACTCCGGAATCTGTGAATGAATAGATTCCAGAATGTTGCAAGCATGACGCGTTAATGACTTCGAGGTCGGACGCACATGACTGCACCTCGGAGTCTTACAGTAAGTTTCCGGAAACTGATTCCGTTGCACACATTCGCGTATGAATCGAATCTCTGTCTTCGCTTCGGCAAGCATAGCGTTAAACTTCAAAAACTTGTTGAAGTTGGAGAAAGCGACAGCACGCTTGCATTTCTTTAGTTCATTAATTATGCCCATTCAGATATTAGAAGCATAACACTTGCGAAGAGAAATCTTTTCGACTCACGCGAGAAAAGCATCTTCCGTAAGACAACCCGGGTTGGTCAGTATACTCACTTTCTTAGGGTTGTACCCATTAAGTACAAGAGAAACCTCGTGCGTTGTCTGCACTATCGGGCCGCAAGAATTTACAGTCCAGAAACGCTAGAAGCGGAATTGGAGTTTATTCAAAAGACAATGCAGAGCAACGGGTATCCCGCGACCTTTAGCAAAAAGCATCCCGCTGTTTCTGATCAAATTAACGCGATACCGTCTGCGAGAAAGAAGCATGTTTACCTCACAGTTCCTTTCAAAGGAGATATCGCTTTCGACTATCACTGGCGGTGAGCAAGACATATCCAGCCGCTAAAGTTCACATATATGCTAAAACTGTTCCGCTCGTCACGCAACGCCTTCAAGATAGAATCGCGGCTCGTTCTGAGTGTTTTGTACTACATCAATTTACCTGCACCTGTGGTGCCAAGGTACCTCGGGCATACGACTAGGCGACTATCTAGGCGGATAGCGGAGTACTGCCCTGCCTATTTCCAACATGGTATGGTTAAGAATGTCCGTAGCTCGATCCTCGAACATCTGCTTAGTACCGGCCATCAGATTCGGACTAATGACGCATTCAAGGTATTCTACACGGCACCGAGGCGCTACCCTAAAGGAATCAGAAAGTGCTTGTTGGCCACCGCTGAAGCCATTGCAATCAGAATACTTCAGCCGGATTTGTGCAAGCAGCGAACACTGATACAATCTATGCTGTTGCCTTGGCCGGAATGTCGGACCGCGGTTGCGACTGAGAGTGACCATTGTAGATCTGCCGTCTGACGCATCTGTGCTTAGAGTGTGTGTGCGTCTCCGCTCATGTTCAGGCGACTCATGACGTCTGACTGTATCGAGTGGAGTATTGATCGACTTCGTTCAACCAACCACATCCCCAGCGTTCGCTTACCTGTACGTTTATCTGTCTTGTAATTGTATTTGCCTGGAGTGAATTGCCGAAAAGAGTTCTCTTCGCAAGTGTTATGCTTCTAATATGTGAATGGGCACAATTATCTTTACCCTAGAACATTACAATCAGGTCACAATGTTGTTACTTGATGTGTTCCATCTATATGACATAACATGCGATATAAATGAAATGTGTCGTTATTGCGCCCAAAACCGGGAGAACAGGAAGATGTAGCTGAGTGCCGTACTGTCTGTACATGTGTGCCGCTATGTATTCAGGTACGGTTCCCAAAGCTGAGAACGTTTATAACAGACTGAAGGCGGTGGACGTTTCGGTTGATCAAAGTAAAAGTGCTTACCGATCAAACGTGGCCAGATAAAATTGATCTGGGCATTTTCTGGTCCGTTCACACTGAGGCAGGAAGAAAGTAACTTCCCACAACTCTCAGGGCAAGTGTAAGACATTGGCTTCCCGGCACAAAGGGCGCAGAACCGAAATCGTGTGATACCAATGGTGCATTCGGGTCTGTCGCTCACCTTTACAATGAAACAAGAAATGCGTTGACATATAACAAATTGGCACAACAAGTTAAAGTCGTGGATGATAATACGCAAGCAACTACGCATCAATATCGATAAAAAGGTGTCATGGATAAAGGCGGCCAACAGTGACCTGATGTGAGACCGAGAAATATATTGCCAGAAGAGCAATGGAACAATAACTTGAGTAGAGAGTCCGCAGGAGGAATTAATAATTAGATATAAGTGAAGCTTTAAAAAAAGTAAAGTGCACAAGATAGGAGCAGCTTACCTGCTTAAGTAGATGAACGAGCAGACGGCCGGTTACGGACAAAACATTGACCAACATACGTGCCGGTGGATAGGCCTCCATAATGCGTGCTTTCAAGCGCACGTCAACGTCATCGAATGGTCTGAGTTGGGCCATGCGCTCTGACAAACACCGGATACGACGCGTTTCTCCCGCTTCATCCGACACATTGTCGTCAAAGGCGGGACTAAAGTCGGCCGATGACACAGGATTTCCTGGTACAGAAGACCTTAAGTTGTTAGCGAGATCGCTGCTCGCTCCGTGGAATGACGAGCTCCGCTGTACTTGTCCGGAACGCTCGATCAAGCTGACAATGCTGTCACGTAATTGATTAAAAAAGTTGTCGATCAAGTGATCCAATTGACCACGCTCTCCAGTAACGTACGCTTTTAAGTCGGCAAAAAATTGGAAGAAAAAACGATGGTGAAGTTTGTAGTTATATCCATAGATGCGGCTGAAAAATTGATGTAACCGATCCTGGGCTCGCTCCAAATCCGATAGAAAGAAATCTAAACAAATCGGGAAGAACAGAGAGGAAATGTGAAAGTAGATGGCAAACGATACAATGTACTGAAAGGCGAAGCGCACATATACTGTACAAGCAAAAAAGAAACGAGGTGTAATGTGTAACACTATGCTTTCGGGAAATGATAGCGTGGTATAGTAAACTGCAGTATGACATGTAAGGCAAAATAACCACACAGTAAATGCTGTCTATAAAGTGGGTACGTAGTGGTTAAGTGGGGATAATTCACATACTATCTTGATAAACTCCACTGCAGCCAACGTTAATACAACCGAAGGGAGCACCACGGAAACAGTAAACATGGGAGAACCTACGTGGCAAGTGCAAACGATGTTTGCGAACAGCAGATAACTAAGTGGTCAAACAGTCTCATAAACAAATATGGGATTTAAAGTCGGCTCTAAATATATCGTAAAATTCCAATGGATACAAGTATGTGGTCAGAACAGATCCAGCAACCTAAGTGGGGCACCGTCTCAAGTGGCCAAAAATAAAGGAGGCGGATAAGTAAGTTTCAACCGATATAGAATCCGTAGTCGTTTGGCTGAAGGGACAGATGAACTTACGTTGCAGAGCCACACTGTCATTACTCATCTGATCTGACACTTTCAGCAACTGTGAACTAGCCAGGTCCACAAGGTACCGACGTCCGAAGACCAGCATGTTTTGTTCCATTTGCTGGTTGCAACAAGAGGGACCAGTTGAAATCGGGCATATGTTAGCTGCGCCTACAGTGGTAGCATGATAAACAATGCATAAGCTCACCTGATTCCCGAGAGATAGAGTCTAATGCATTTTCCATATTAGACATATACCGTAGTCTCATCCATTCTTGCTTCGCTTTAGTGCAATCAAGCGCTCTTACCAGGGTCCCACCATGAAAACAGATGATTGAAACCGTAAGGAGGTAGAAGACGCGATGGAAGGATGTGTACATATTTTGAATTCCAGTAGATAATGACTAAAACCTGTTCACAATAGGCATATCTGTTCCCATATCCTGGAAAGAAGAGGGAAGTAACAACCGGTGACAGTTTGACGAACAGTCAGCCGCGGCAGCACAACCTGCGGAGTAGTGCACCACATTTCCCTGGCAACCACTTATCCGGTAAGCAATACGCTGTGTACACCGGTTGAGAACAAAAGTACAAGGGCATTTCCAGCAGCAGATAGAGAAGATAACGCAACTACACACACGAACAAGGTAATCATTGATAACGCATTTAAATGAACCAAGGTTTAACGTATGCAGTAGTCCCAAAATCACAGATCAGTTGGCTTCCTGTCCCTTAGTCAATGCGAAGGATATGTTAGTTTGCGTCGACAAAATTATCCAAATATAGAAAACAGGCTCTTCAAAGAGCTCCTAAAAGTGTGCGCCATGTATACAGAGGGTGGGTTGACGAAGCCAACTGAGTGAATCATATATTGTCGGCCAAGAAGGAAAAGCGACCAAAGTTTCGACGATTAACTCAGGTGTATCAAATTGTGCAGTTGAGACAAGGGTGTTAACCACTCTTCCTGAGTGCAGTAAAAGCATACTGACGTCTAGCTGGGAGAAGTGTGCTATAAGCCTTGTCGTCTCACGCAAATCATTGCTACTCGCAAAGAAGGTTAAAGCTATGATAACTTGTTCGGCATTCATCCTGGAGACAGGTGATGCAGTGCTTCTATCACACAAATCAACAGACTGTAGACAAAACAGAAGTTATCACATCACTTAATGTGGCCTCCATAAGATCTGTCAGTGCAGCAAGGAATTACTTGATTTAAGCGGAAAAATTTGGTAGTTGAGATTTATAAGGTGATGTTTGTTCCACCCTTAAAGTTTAGACTGAAGTAACTAAAGTGAACAACGCATATTTCGAAAGGTGAAGTGGCGAAGTAAATAATAGGAGTTGCATGTCTTACTATACCATTTCCCGGCCAAGTTGTCCTCTTGGGCAACAGAAATAATCCGAGGGGGCATTCAACATGAGTCTACTCAATTAATTTGTTCCGTGCGTATGCCAGTCACTTATGCAGGTGTGTAGGTGTGCGTGTATAGCCCGTCGCCTTCAGCCAATTGGACCTCAGACGCACTATGTCATAGGGGTGCAGGTGGGACGCTTCAGCTCCTACGCACGGAACAAATTAATTGAGTAGACTCATATTGAATGCCCCCTCAGATAATTTCTGTTGCCCAAGAGGACAACTTGCCCGGGAAATGGTGTAGATAATTGAAAAGAAGAAGTCATCGGTACGCTGGTACGCAGTACCGCAACCACTACCAGCCGCACGTGGGCTACGGATACTGCGAGGGTCGCCCAGTTCATACGCAGGCCCGAATCCACGTCCTCGGATTACAAGGCAGGCTTGTGATCCTTAAGACTATGGGTCAGCTTTGGTTTGTGCAGATCACGACAAAATCTCGAAGTCGAATTCACAGGGCCGACATTCTCTCTGCTTATCATGTGATAATGTGGAACAGTCGACCCATATAATGGTACGCACTATATTCAGAAGTTCAACGCTATGGGAGCTACTTGTATCAGGTAAAACTGATCGACCCACGATGATGATTGTATGGGAACTGCAATTGGTGCGGTTGCATATGTACTGTCAGCAATCGTCAATAATATGTGTTGCGAGACCTGGTATGTGGTACTTGTCTCAATTCGCTGGCTTCCGAATCCATTAAGTAGCGCTCTACTGCACCAAAATCCAGTTACCTTATTCCGCGTTTGCCAAACTCCCAATTCTCGGTAACCGATGTCCATTCCTATGTCCACAGCGCCATGCTGTCTCGGTCGGAAGTCCTTGCCCCGGAAATCGGGATTTTATGTCCAAGGGTGTCACTCAGTTGCACAAGTAATTATTTACTATTACCCCAGTTCCAATACAAGCTGACTATTTTCGATGTTCCAGCCCTGATGTATACCGGATCACAAGCAGTCTTTACCCGCACTCTGGGAACCACTGCCACTTGCGGTGCTTCAGCACGACGCCAGGACTGGTTTCACAGTATGCGAGTCACGCTGGTTTCTTCACACCCAGCTCTCCCGCGTATTGTCCTATCACCCCGGGGCGAGGTAGAAAAGATTGAGCGAATGCAGCATGTAGCCACCAGGATGATTCCCAACTTATGAGGTGTGCCGTATGAAGACCGGTGTAAGAAACTAGGGCTGTACACCCTAGCTTATCGTCGAATGCGGGTTGACCTCATCATGACGCACCGGATATTACATCTGGGAGATTACCCCATGTTGAGGCCGCTGCTACATCTGCGCACACCAAGCTGCAAGAGAGGACACCGGTACAAGCTTGTCGTACCGGATTTGAAGCGGGTCGCTCACCAACTGTTTTGAACGCAGAGTGGTGAATGTATGGAACAACCTGCCGCAGCACGTAGTTGAGGCAAAGTCGGTGTCGGAATTTAAGAAGTTCCTGGAAAAACACTTAACCGACGCATAAATATATTGGGCGCAACACAACATAACGAATCTTTGTCCCTGAGCGACATTAGATGCAGTTACACAGAGCAAACTCAAATTGCTGCATCCAACCAGTAATCATTTCTCAGACTGAAAACCGCTATGAGGCCCTCAAGGAGGCTACGATCAAGCGTGTCATGCCCGTCCGTCTGCAGCAGCTTTTCAGGGATCTGCTCTCAACGCTGTTACCCGAGATGCAACAACTGCCTGGTTCATCAACAGTGGACAAGACCATACTCACTGAACTATGGCTACAGCTGCTACCGGAAAACGCGCAAGCGATTCTAGCTACCATGACTTTCGTATCGCTCACCCAACTAGCTGATTTAGCAGATCGGGTCGTCGAACGATCACAGCAACAAACCGACGCCAGCAAGGTCAATGCCGCGTCCCAGGGCCCTCTTATCACTGGCTTACAGTCAACTATAGAAGCCCTGCAAACACAAGTTGCGACACAGTCATCAGGTTTAAAAGCTCCCCGTCATCGTCACAGCCGACCCAAATCAACCACCAAACGCTCCAATTTCATCAACAGGCAGGCTTGCTGTTAGTACCACCAGTGCTTTTGGTACGGCAACTCGTGTGTCACGCCTTTCGGCTTCGCTGAGAAGCAGGGAAACTTCTCATCCGGCCCGTAATGGCGACGGACGCGAGCGGCCAACACCGAAGTTGCCTCATCCACGTTAGGGATTTAACTACCGATGCCGAGTTTCTAGTAGACACCGGAGCTGAAGTTAGCGTTATACCCTGCAGCTCAGATGAGGTCGTCTCACCGTTGCTGACTAGACTAGGTGCTGCCAATGGCACACCGAGTGCAACTTTCGGCAAAAAACTGCTAACCCTCAATCTAGGCCTCCGGCGAAACTTCCGCTGGCCTTTCATAATAGCAGCCGTCCCTTTCGTCATTGTAGTCATAGACTTTCTTCAACACTCCGAACTTATCGTCGATCCTAAAAGAAGGAGTTCATCGACTGGGACACAGCTCAGTATTATCGGGACCAGCGTCAACAGCGCCGCTACCACTTCTGTTCGTGTCCCGCCTCAAGCTTCATAGACCTTTCTAGCAAGCATCCTAAGCTCGTTCGCACTCAGAAGGACTTGCCTCCTGTGAGGTCTAACGTTACACACCACATATGCACTAAGAGTCCACTGTTTCGGCCCGCCCTCGCAGACTAGCCCCGGACAAGCTCAAAGCGGCTAAGGAGGAATTCAAGCATCTGCCCGAACTGGGAATAATCCGCCAGTCCAAGAGTCCATGGGCATCACCAGTACACATGGTACCCAAAAAATCCGGTGACTGGCACCCCTGTGGTGATTGCAGGGCAGTTAACTAAGTTACCGTCCCGGATAAAGATCGCATTTCTCACATACACGACTTAGCCTCAGCTCTAGCTGGTAAGTCAATCTTTAGCAAAGTCGACCTAATCCGTGATTACCACCAAATACGTGTAGCGCCAGACGACAGTACTAAAACAGCAGCCATCATGCCGTTTGGCCTTTCCGAGTACCTCAGAATGCCTTTCCGCCTCATCAACTCTGCTCAAACTTTTCAGCGTTTCATTCATGAAGTAACGAGAGGACTCGAAGGTATTTATCCTAACTTACACGATATTCTCATCGCCAGCTCTTCTGACGATGAACACCGTCACTTTGACGCACTTTTTCAACGATTGACAGTATGGGGTTACCATCAACCCCGGTAAATGCGAGCTTGGCCAAAGCTCCATCGAGTTTCTTGGCCACAGAATATCCTCCTCGCATTGAAGCCCTGCCAGACAAAATCCAAACACTGAAGGACTATCCTGCTCCTAGTTCCTTCAAACAGCTACGCAGATTCCTTTGTCTGGTTAACTATTATCGACGTTTCATTCCTAACTGCGCGAGCATTGTTCAACCAATGACTGACTTGCTCCGCGGTAACCACCGCCCTTCCCACTTTTCAGACGATGCCCACTTGAGTTTCGAGAAGCTCAAAGACGCTAACTCCGACATAGCACTTCTCGCCCACCCAAAGCTTTCAGCACCGCATCATACACCGCCGTCGATGCAGTTCTTCAACAACTCATCGATGGATATCTTTAGGTTTCTTTTCGAAGCGTTTACAACCAACCGAATCGAGTTATAGTACCTTCGGTAGGGAACTGCTGGCAGTCTACTAGGTATCAGACACCCGTCATTATCTCGAAGGTCGACATTTTACAGCTTTCACTGACCATCATCATCATCATCAACAGCAGTACATCAACCATTTGAACTGATGCTTCGCTGTCATACAATCATGAGGATCTATGAAATAAAGAATAAGAAGATGGAGAGAGAGGTGACTTACCTGAAAACCTTAATGCCCTAAGCAAACATTCAGGGTCAAGGCGCCTACACCTTGTGTTAACAACATACCGTCACAAACAGCTGGCTATCGTGCAAAGATAAGGCGGCATCGGCGAGACAGCTTCCTTGCGGCTTTCACTGCCACGCGTCATAATCAGCCATTACCCCGCAGATAACTCAGCACCAAACACACTTTAAAC